ACCTGCCAATAGACCTACCTGCCAATAGACCTACCTGCCAATAGACCTACCAGTCAATAGACCTACCAGCCAATAGACCTACCAGCCAATAGACCTACCTGCCAATAGACCTACCAGCCAATAGACCTACCTGCCAATAGACCTACCAGCCAATAGACCTACCAGCCAATAGACCTACCAGCCAATAGACCTACCTGCCAATAGACCTACCAGCCAATAGACGTACCTGCCAATAGACCTACCAGCCAATAGACCTACCGGCCAATAGACCTATCTGCCAATAGACCTACCAGCCAATAGACCTACCAGCCAATAGACCTACCTGCCAATAGACCTACCTGCCAATAGACCTACCTGCCAATAGACCTACCTGCCAATAGACCTACCAGCTAATTTGACCTACCTGCCAATAGACCTTCCTGCCAATAGACCTTCCTGCCAATAGACCTACCAGCCAATAGACCTACCAGCCAATAGACCTACCTGCCAATAGACCTACCTGCCAATAGACCTACCTGCCAACAGACCTACCTGCCAACAGACCTACCTGCCAATAGACCTACCTGCCAATAGACCTACCAGCCAATAGACCTACCTGCCAATAGACCTACCTGCCACCTACCTGCCAACAGACCTACCTGCCAACAGACCTACCTGCCAATAGACCTACCTGCCAATAGACCTACCAGCCAATAGACCTACCAGCCAATAGACCTACCTGCCAATAGACCTACCTGCCAATAGACCTACCTGCCAATAGACCTACCAGCCAATAGACCTACCTGCCAATAGACCTACCTGCCAATAGACCTACCAGCCAATAGACCTACCTGCCAATAGACCTACCAGCCAATAGACCTACCAGCCAATAGACCTACCAGCCAATAGACCTACCTGCCAATAGACCTACCTGCCAATAGACCTACCTGCCAATAGATCTACCTGCCAATAGACCTACCAGTCAATAGACCTACCAGCCAATAGACCTACCAGCCAATAGACCTACCAGCCAATAGACCTACCTGCCAATAGACCTACCAGCCAATAGACCTACCAGCCAATAGACCTACCTGCCAATAGACCTACCTGCCAATAGACCTACCTGCCAATAGACCTACCTGCCAATAGACCTACCTGCCAATAGACCTACCAGCCAATAGACCTACCTGCCAATAGACCTACCAGCCAAAAGACCTACCAGCCAATAGACCTACCTGCCAATAGACCTACCTGCCAATAGACCTACCTGCCAATAGACCTACCTGCCAATAGACCTACCAGCCAATAGACCTACCAGCCAATAGACCTACCAGCCAATAGACCTACCAGCCAATAGACCTACCTGCCAATAGACCTACCTGCCAATAGACCTACCAGCCAATAGACCTACCTGCCAATAGACCTACCAGCCAAAAGACCTACCAGCCAATAGACCTACCTGCCAATAGACCTACCTGCCAATAGACCTACCTGCCAATAGACCTACCTGCCAATAGACCTACCAGCCAATAGACCTACCAGCCAATAGACCTACCAGCCAATAGACCTACCAGCCAATAGACCTACCAGCCAATAGACCTACCTGCCAATAGACCTACCTGCCAATAGACCTACCAGCCAATAGACCTACCTGCCAATAGACCTACCAGCCAATAGACCTACCAGCCAATAGACCTACCAGCCAATAGACCTACCTGCCAATAGACCTACCTGCCAATAGACCTATCTGCCAATAGACCTACCTGCCAATAGACCTAACAGTCAATAGACCTACCTGCCAATAGACCTACCAGCCAATAGACCTACCAGCCAATAGACCTACCTGCCAATAGACCTACCAGCCAATAGACCTACCAGCCAATAGACCTACCTGCCAATAGACCTACCTGCCAATAGACCTACCTGCCAATAGACCTACCTGCCAATAGACCTACCAGCCAATAGACCTACCTGCCAATAGACCTACCTGCCAATAGACCTACCTGCCAATAGACCTACCTGCCAATAGACCTACCAGCCAATTTGACCTACCTGCCAATAGACCTTCCTGCCAATAGACCTTCCTGCCAATAGACCTACCAGCCAATAGACCTACCAGCCAATAGACCTACCTGCCAATAGACCTACCTGCCAATAGATCTACCTGCCAACAGACCTACCTGCCAACAGACCTACCTGCCAATAGACCTACCTGCCAATAGACCTACCAGCCAATAGACCTACCTGTCAATAGACCTACCTGCCACCTACCTGCCAACAGACCTACCTGCCAACAGACCTACCTGCCAATAGACCTACCTGCCAATAGACCTACCAGCCAATAGACCTACCAGCCAATAGACCTACCTGCCAATAGACCTACCTGCCAATAGACCTACCTGCCAATAGACCTACCAGCCAATAGACCTACCTGCCAATAGACCTACCTGCCAATAGACCTACCAGCCAATAGACCTACCTGCCAATAGACCTACCAGCCAATAGACCTACCAGCCAATAGACCTACCAGCCAATAGACCTACCAGCCAATAGACCTACCTGCCAATAGACCTACCTGCCAATAGACCTACCTGCCAATAGACCTACTTGCCAATAGACCTACCAGTCAATAGACCTACCAGCCAATAGACCTACCAGCCAATAGACCTACCAGCCAATAGACCTACCAGCCAATAGACTTACCTGCCAATAGACCTACCTGCCAATAGACCTACCTGCCAATAGACCTTTCAGCCAATAGACCTACCTGCCAATAGACCTACCTGCCAACAGACCTATCTGCCAACAGACCTACCTGCCAACAGACCTACCTGCCAATAGACCTACCTGCCAATAGACCTACCAGCCAATAGACCTACCAGCCAATAGACCTACCTGCCAATAGACCTACCTGCCAATAGACCTACCTGCCAATAGACCTACCAGCCAATAGACCTACCTGCCAATAGACCTACCAGCCCATAGACCTACCTGCCAATAGACCTACCAGCCAATAGACCTACCTGCCAATAGACCTACCTGCCAATAGACCTACCTGCCAATAGACCTACCTGCCAATAGACCTACCTGCCAATAGACCTACCTGCCAATAGACCTACCTGCCAATAGACCTACCTGTCAATAGACCTACCAGCCAATAGACCTACCTGCCAATAGACCTACCAGCCAATAGACCTACCTGCCAATAGACCTACCAGCCAATAGACCTACCTGCCAATAGACCTACCTGCCAATAGACCTACCAGCCAATAGACCTACCAGCCAATAGACCTACCAGCCAATAGACCTACCTGCCAATAGACCTACCAGCCAATAGACCTACCAGCCAATAGACCTACCTACCAATAGACCTACCTGCCAATAGACCTACCTGCCAATAGACCTACCTGCCAACAGACCTATCTGCCAACAGACCTACCTGCCAACAGACCTACCTGCCAATAGACCTTCCTGCCAGTAGACCTACTAGCCAATAGACCTACCAGCCAATTTGACCTACCAGCCAATAGACCTACCTGCCAATAGACCTACCAGTCAATAGACCTACCAGCCAATAGACCTACCTGCCAATAGACCTACCTGCCAATAGACCTACCTGCCAATAGACCTACCTGCCAATAGACCTACCTGCCAATAGACCTACCTGCCAATAGACCTACCTGCCAATAGACCTACCAGCCAATAGACCTACCAGCCAATAGACCTTCCTGCCAATAGACCTTCCTGCCAATAGACCTACCAGCCAATAGACCTACCAGCCAATAGACCTACCTGCCAATAGACCTACCTGCCAACAGACCTATCTGCCAACAGACCTACCTGCCAACAGACCTACCTGCCAATAGACCTACCTGCCAATAGACCTACCTACCAATAGACCTACCTGCCAATAGACCTACCTGCCAATAGACCTACCTGCCAACAGACCTATCTGCCAACAGACCTACCTGCCAACAGACCTACCTGCCAATAGACCTTCCTGCCAGTAGACCTACTAGCCAATAGACCTACCAGCCAATTTGACCTACCAGCCAATAGACCTACCTGCCAATAGACCTACCAGTCAATAGACCTACCAGCCAATAGACCTACCTGCCAATAGACCTACCTGCCAATAGACCTACCTGCCAATAGACCTACCTGCCAGTAGGTCTATTGGCTGGTAGATCTATTGGCAGGTAGGTCTATTGGCTGGTAGGTCTATTGGCTGGTCGGTCTATTGGCTGGTAGGTCTATTGGCAGGTAGGTCTATTGGCTGGTAGGTGCAGCGTATGAGCGGGCGGTGCAGCGTAGGAGCGGGCGGTGCAGCGTATGAGCGGGCGGTGCAGCGGATGAGCGCGCGGTGCAGCGTATGAGCGTGCGGTGCAGCGTACGAGCGTGTGGTGCAGCGTATGAGCGGGCGGTGCAGCGTATGAGCGGGTGGTGCAGCGTATGAGCGGGCGGTGCAGCGTATGAGCGTGCGGTGCAGCGTACGAGCGTGCGGTGCAGCGTATGAGCGTGTGGTGCAGCGTATGAGCGGGCGGTGCAGCGTATGAGCGGGTGGTGCAGCGTATGAGAGTGCGGTGCAGCGTACGAGCGTGCGGTGCAGCGTATGAGGGGGCGGTGCAGCGTATGAGCGGGCGGTGCAGCGTATGAGCGGGCGGTGCAGCGTATGAGCGTGCGGTGCAGCGAAAGAGCGTGCGGTGCAGCGTATGAGCTGGCGGTGCAGCGTATGAGCGTGCGGTGCAGCGAAAGAGCGTGCGGTGCAGCGTATGAGCGTACGGTGCAGCGTATGAGCGTGCGGTGCAGCGAAAGAGCGTGCGGTGCAGCGTATGAGCGTACGGTGCAGCGTATGAGCGGGCGGTGCAGCGTATGAGCGTGGGGTGCAGCGTATGAGCGTGCGGTGCAGCGTATGAGCGGGCAGTGCAGCATACTGAAGAGGTCAATGCAATCCTGTGGTGGAGGCAGGGTCTTAAGGTGCCTCAAATCTCATGCACATGCATGTGTGACCAACAACTCACTTGACGCTGTGCTTGCTGGTGTAGAGGTCTATGCCATCCTGTGGTGGAGGAGGGACGCAGGGAGAGGGGAAGCAGTGCAGTGGGAATATGGGAGGTGGGAACTAGCATGCTTATTCTTGAATGGACAGCGAAGAACTAGAACCAGAATGAACACATAAGAGACGCTAGTTTGGTACTTCTTTCCCACATACACATGAGTTCACTTGTTACAGCGGCACAGCAGGGAAGAAGGGCGGGGAGGTGCGAGAGAGACAGCGGAGAATGGACGACGCCAGCTGTGGCGTTGGTGTGGTACTGAATGGTCTGCAGAGCCAGCTACAGGGACGGCGACCACAGGCGCTAGCTAAATGGCCAGGTGGAAAGGGAGGTGGAAGGCGATGTGGAGGGGAGAGTGACAGCGGAGGGGAGGGCATACCTTGGCGGCGAGAGAATGAAAGACCTCAGCAGTGGAGTTGGTGGGGTATTGAATGGAGCAGCTGACGGTGGGGGGGCAGGGAGAGAGAGGAAAGAGAGGAGAGAGTGGAAGGGCAAGCAAGGCGGGTGGTTCTATGAGTTGACGAAAAACACCTGAATGGGGCAGGGGAGGGAGGGGAGTGAGAGAGAGGGTTATTGGGGGCAGGGAGGGGAAGAAAATGGAGTGGAGTGGACCAGACGTGGCAGTGCAGCCAGAATGGAATGTCAACCAGCGTGTGTGCTCTTGTTTGCCACCTCATGTGTGTGTGGTCGGAAGCACCCACGCACGCAGTGCCTTTTGAGTCGACTCAAAAGTCAACCAGCGTGTGTGCTCTTGTTTGCCACCTCATGTGTGTGTGGTCGGAAGCACCCACGCACGCAGTGCCTTTTGAGTCGACTCAAAAGTCAACCAGCGTGTGTGCTCTTGTTTGCCACCTCATGTGTGGGCGGAAGCACCCACCCACGCAGTGCTTCTACATGGGTTACGGTGATCTGTTGAGGTGCCTCAAAAGTCGTCTCAGTTCTCGCGGATTTTGCTGCTACTCCACTATGAGCCTGAATCGCAGTGCTGCATGGGTTATGGTGATCGGAAGGATCAGCATGCGAGCACGAAAGCAGAGTGTTTGTGAAGATACTCAAGTGGAGGCACTGACTCACCCTGGCAGGCGAAGTGTTTTGAGACATCTCGAAACACTTCTTCATACACTGACTCACCCTGGCAGGGGCAGCACGACTTGGTCGATGGAGTAGACCCCTCTCTCTGCTTCCTCCTCACTCACCACCCTCACCTCCTCCCCCTCCGCCCTCGCCTCCACCGCCACTGCTGCCGCCTCCTCTGCCTCCGCCTCTGCGTCTGTGCCCCTCATCCCCGGCCCCTCTGCCCCCACGCCCGCTGCTCTCCCTGCTGCTGCAGCAGCCGCAGCAGCAACACTAGCAGCCGTGGCAGCGGCAGTGGCAGCAGGAAGGGAGCAGAGCACAAGGTCACCTGCTACCACTCGGGTGGAGCCTGCAGGGAAAGCAGAGGCGGTTGGTGGGGGGAGGAGAGGAGAGGACGTGCAGTGGTGGTGGGTACAGAGGGAGGGGAGCAGAGCACAAGGTCACCTGCTACCACTCGGGTGGAGCCTGCAGGGAAAGCAAAGGTGGGTGGTGGGGGCAGGAGAGGACATGGATGGAGTGTTCAGTGGTGCTGTGCGGTGGTGGTGGTGTGGAGGGGAGCAGAGCAGAGCACAAGGTCACCTGCCACCACTCGGGTGGAGCCTGCAGGGAAAGCAGAGGTGGGTGGTGGGGGGAGGAGAGGACATGGAGGGAGTGTTCAGTGGTGCTGTGCGGTGGTGGTGGTACAGGGGAGTGCAGAGCAGAGCACAAGGCCGCCTGCCTGCCACCACTCGGGTGGAGCCTGCAGGTGATGCGAATGTGGTTGGAGGGAACAGGACTTGCAGCGACTGTTGAAGTGGTGCCATCAGGTGGTGGTGGTGGTGGGATAGAAAGAGTTTAGTGAGACGACTTTTGAGGCGAGCTTAGAGAGACGGAGGTAGGGTGTGACACGTCTTGTGTCTTGATGTGGTGCAATGCGGTGCAACGAGGCGCACTGGTATAAGGTGGAGTGTTATGAGGTGTAGTGCGGTGCCACTAGGTGCAGTGTTGTTAAGAAACCCACCAAACAGGCGAAGCAATATGTCTCACCATACATCTTGATGCAGTGTGAGGCGGCATGGTTCCAAAGGTGACTTTTGAGTCGACTCAAAAGTCACCTCGTTACAACAGGTGAAGCAGTATATCTCTCACCATACGTCTTGATGCGGTGTGAGGCGGCATGGTTCCACAGGTAGCTCTGATAGCTGTGCACGTACCTGGCATGGTGATGAGGGGGAGGAGGAAGGGGAGGAGTGAAGGGGAGAAAACAGAGGTTCTTATTCCACAGATAGCTCTGATAGCTGTGCACGTACCTGGCATGGGGGGATGAGGGAAGGGAAGGGTGGGGGGAGGGGTGTGAAGGACGGGGGGTTCATGAGGGAAGGGCAAAGGTGTGAGGCTGCATGGTTCCACAGATAGATCTGAAAGCTGTGCACGTACCTGGCATGGGGATGGGGGAGAGTAAGGGGGGGAGGATTGAAGGTCACAGTGAAGGGGAGTAGAAAGAGGTTCTCATTTGACAGGTAGCTCTGATGGCTCTGCACGTACTTGGTCATGTGGAAGAGGAAGAATGGGGCGGGAGGAGGGGGGTTCACATCATCATATCCCTCGCAGCTGACTCACATGAGGCGCACTCACACCTCATCACATGTCCTGTCGTGCAGGTGACTCACATGAGGCGCATGGTGCGCGGGATGAAGCCCAGCGCCTGCACCAGATTGCGCGGGTTGCGCTTCAGCCCTGACAGCTGTCACGCAGAGTGAAGGGCGGATGGTGGAGGGGAGGTTGCGGGGAGAGAGAGAGACCGAAGGAGGAAAGGGGTGTAGAGCAACTGAGAGGCACGATGAGTCACTTAGTGCATGAAGTAGCGTGAAAGGACTTGAGCAGAGTGGGATGCCGCGAGGTGAGAGGAGGAGAGAGAGCAGGAACGAGGTGAGGGGGGGATGGCGTGAGTGCGACTCACCACTCCTCGTTCAGCCACCATTCTGGTCGGCATGTGTATCATTGCAAGGTCGGCGTCTTTTGTCTTCATCCACAGGCGCCTGGCCTCCGCCGCCCCTTCCGATTGTGGCAAGATGAACGGTTGAAATCAGCATTGAGTGCAGATATGGCACACACACGAAGTAGACTCTATCTGATGTAAGGAGTTCTTGGAAATAAGTTTTGGCTCTTGACTCTTGAGGCACAATTATGAAATCCAGGGGACTCGGAAGGGCATTGCATGTTCTGAAACGCAGTAAGGGGCAGGAGAGCATCGTACCGCACCACACCGCACAGCACAGCACAGCACAGCACAGCACAGCGAGGCAGGGCAAGGCAGGGTGAGGAGAGGCAAGGCAAAGCAAGGCGAGCGGGCAAGGCGAGGCGAGGAAGGTGAGAGGATATCTCCATCTCTGGGCTTGAGCAGCAGGTCCACGGCGCCCTGCCAGTCGCCCCTCAGCAGCGCTGCTCCCACCGTGTGCGTCGCCACCGGACCCACTCCAAAGCGCTGCTCACATGGGGGCAAGAGAGGGGGGCCAAGGGCGAGAGCGGTGAGGAAGGGAAGTCAGGAGGAGCGAGGATGAGAAGTCTGGAGTGAAGTGAGCTGGACTCTGCTGCTACCGTGTGTTGCCACCGGCCCCACGCCAAACCACTGCTCTCAGGGGGACAAGCGGGGGAAGTAGGGGAAGGGCGAGAGTGGTTTTTGAAAGAGGCTTGAAAAGCAAAGCGCTGCTTATACAGGCCCAGGGAGGATGCGACGTGAGCATGGGAGGTTTGAGTCGTGTCACTGGTGCTGCCGTCCGAAGACCAACAGCACACAGCAGCACCCAGCAGCACCCAGCAGCACCCAGCAGCACGCACCTGAAGGCCAAAGTAGTTGATAATGCCATGAGAGCGAAGGCCCTCCGCCGCTGCTGTGATGGCGTCCAGACTTGATGCTCTCACGGCCCTGGGAAGCAGGAGGAGGGGCAGGAAAAGAGAAGGCACGCGGAAAGGTGGGGGGATAGCAGGCTGCTGTGTATGGCATGAAGCAACTCCTGTCCACAGCAGCACGAGGCTGCTGTGCTGAAGCTACTCCAGCACGAGGTGGGGGGCGGGGTTGCGCACCCGAAGGTGACAAGGTTTTGGTTGCCTGCAAGCTGCCCCAGCACAAGGGGGTGGTCCGCAAGGCGGTAGTCATGGGCGGGGGAAGAAGGAGGGAAGGGTGAGGATTCTCAATAACTCTCACCTGAGAGTGACAATGAAGCGGTTGCCTGCCAGCTGTCCCAGCACGAGGGGCTGGTCCACAAGGCGGTAGTCGCCCACTCGGATGCCAAACAGCTTGGCGTTGAGTGATGCCACCTTGCGCGCTGACTGGTTGCTCACTGTCACCTGGTGGAAAAAGGGTGCAGTGCACGGTGTGGTGTGATGCGGCGGTGGTGGTGGTGGGCGGTAGTCATGTGGTGGCACATGGGGGGATGCCAAACAGCTTGGCGTTCAGTAATGCCACCTTGCGGGCCGACTGATTGGACACTGTCACCCCTGGTGGTGAGTGGAGGGGATGTGATACAAGGTGGTGATGGGTGGGGTGGGCGTGTGGGTGGCACATGGGAGGATGCCAAACAGCTTGGCGTAGTGTAGCACTATTCCTCTCAAGAGCTCTCTCCCTTCCTGTACACCCTCACTTTCCCCAACCTCCTATCACCCCCTGCAACCGCTCTGCACCCACCCTCTGCACAGTGACAGTTCTCTTATCCTTGGTGCCCGAGAAACCCAGCGCCCTGGAATGCACGCCCAGGTAGCGCCTAAGTCCGTCACTGTGACCACCCGTCCCAACCCAAACTCCCTACAACTACCACCCCCTGCACCCGACCCCCTATAACCACAGTGCCCCCACCCACCCGCTGCACCGTGACGGCGCGCTTGTCCTTGGTGCCCGAGAAGCCCAGCGCCCTGCTCTGCACGCCCAGCCCAAGTAGCGCCTGTGGGCCTGACTGTGACCAGCCGTCCCAACTCCCCCAACTCCCCTGCAACCACTCTGTACCCACCCACTCCCCACGTTGCACGGTGACGGCCCGCTTGTCCTTGGTGCCCGAGAACCCCAGCGCACGGCTCTGCACGCCCAGGTAGCGCCTACACCCCTGACTGTTACCAGCCGTCCCAACTCCCTTAAATCCCTACAACCGCTCTCCACCCACCCGTTGCACGGTGACAGCCCGCTTGTCCTTGCTGCCCGAGAAGCCCAGCGCGCGGCTCTGCACGCCCAGGTAGCGCCCCACGAGCGCCATGGCCTCGTTGGTGTCCTTGTTCTCCTTGAGCACGTGGAACCTGGGGGGTGGGGAGTGGAAGACGGGTGGGGGAAAGAGGGGTACAGGTAAGGTTGGTGTCCTTGTTCTCCTTCGACACGTGGAACCTGGGGGGTGGGGAGTGGAAGACGGGTGGGGGAAAGAGGGGTACAGGTAAGGTTGGTGTCCTTGTTCTCCTTCGACACGTGGAACCTGGGGGGTGGGGAGTGGAAGACGGGTGGGGGAAAGAGGGGTACAGGTAAGGTTGGTGTCCTTGTTCTCCTTCGACACGTGGAACCTGGGGGGTGGGGAGTGGAAGACGGGTGGGGGAAAGAGGGGTACAGGTAAGGTTGGTGTCCTTGTTCTCCTTCGACACGTGGAACCTGGGAGGGTGGGTGGGAAGATGGGAGGTAGAGGGTGGTCAGAGGAATTGTATACTTGTGAGCGTGCAAGCATGTGTGCTAATGTGCATGTGTGTATCCATACACCAACCAGGCCAATCCAATCCCACACACGCCAGGGCACGCACATGAGGAAGCGGCGGGCAGTGGTTGCAGGCACCCCATCCGCGCCCTTCCTCCCCCGCCTGTCAAACGCCGGCTGATCCTCCTCCCCCTGCTCCCCCCCCCGCCCCTCCCCCTCTCCGCCATTCCCCCCTTCCCCCCTATCCTCCCCATCGCCATCACCACCATCCCTCCTCCCTCTCTTCTTATCCCCACCCTCCCACTCCTCCCTCCCCCGCTTCCCCCACTTCCCGCCCCTTCCCCCCCTCTTCCCCCCCCAGCGTCCCTCCCGCCACCCCCTCCCGTCCCCGCCCCTCTGCCCCCCTTCCCCCCGCCCTCCGCGCTCCCCTGCGCGCCCCCCTGCGCCCTTGAGGTTGAGGGCGGGCGGGGGGAGGAAGCGCAGGCGCACACAGCGGTAGGGGGGGCCTTGAGGGGCGTCGATAGTGTCGGATACAAGGAAAGGGTATGACTTGATAAACGCGTGCATGGCCTGGTGGTGGGGGAAGGTCCAGAGGGAAGGGGTGTTGGAAAAAGAAGATTGTCAGAGGGACAGAGAGTGGGGTAAGGTGAGGGAAGGCGGAGAAACGGGGAAGGGGTGCGTGGCAGTCAGGGCCGTGCATGCAACTGTAGCTATGGCGTGTCATGGCGTGTCATGGCTTGAAACGCCCCGATCCCTTCCAGTCACGTCAGCCACTCACAGCACGGTACGCCTTGTCAGCACTGGCAGCAAACACCACCGGCTCAGGCATGGGCGGAGGAGCCCCCTTCCCCGCCTCTACTCCTTCCCCCTCCCCTCCCTGCACGCTCCCCTCCACCCTTTTCTCCCCAGAACCCTCCTCTCCTCCCTCTTCTCCTCTGTCCTCCTCGCCTCCCCTCTTCTTCTCTTTCCACCACAGCTGAATGCCTTTAATCCCTTCCAGCAGCTGCAGCAGCTTCCTCGCATCTTCCTCATCGCGCAGTCCTCCTCCCCCCTCCGCGCTCCCCCCCAGCGCCTGGCGGAGCTGCGCCAGCACCCCCTGCGCGTCCACCAGCTCCCCCAGGCTCTCCGCCTCGCGCCTGCGCGCCTGCTGCTGCGCCTGCTGCTCCTGTGCCAGCAGCGCGGGCGGCACGTGCAGGTGCGTCAGATGCACCACCGTGCCATCTGGTGCTACTTCATTCACTATGAAATCCGCGAACCTGGGGAGGAAGGCATGGGGAGGTGGGCATGGGAGGGGAGCAAGGGGGGCTGGATGTGCTGCGCCTGCGTGCCTGCTGCTCCTGCGCCAGCAGCGTGGGGGGCACGTGCAGGTGCGTCAGATGCACCACTGTGCCAAGGCTGTGGTGGTGCTCCCAGGACAGCATTGCGGGGGGCACAGCGGTGACACGGTCACACGTGGTCACACGTGGTCACACGTGGTCACACTTGGTCACACTTGGTCACACTTGGTCACCCTTGGTCACACGTGGTCACACTTGGACACATATGGTCACACTTGGTCACACTTGGTCACACTTGGTCACACTTGGTCACACTTGGTCACACGTGGTCACACTTGGTCACACGTGGTCACACTTGGTCACACTTGGTCACACTTGGTCACACTTGGTCACACTTGGTCACACTTGGTCACACATGGTCATACGTGGTCACACTTAGTCACACTTGGTCACACTTGGTCACACTTGGTCACCCTTGGTCACACGTGGTCACACTTGGACACATATGGTCACACTTGGTCACACTTGGTCAAACTTGGTCACACTTGGTCACACTTGGTCACACGTGGTCACACTTGGTCACACTTGGTCACACTTGGTCACACTTGGTCACACTTGGTCACACTTGGTCACACTTGGTCACACTTGGTCACACTTGGTCACACTTGGTCACACTTGGTCACACTTGGTCACACTTGGTCACACGTGGTCACACGTGGTCACACTTGGTCACACTTGGTCACACTTGGTCACACTTGGTCACACTTGATCACACTTGGTCACACTTGGTCACACGTGGTCACACTTGGTCACACTTGGTCACACTTGGTCACACTTGGTCACACTTGGTCACACTTGGTCACACTTGGTCACACTTGGTCACACTTAATCACACTTGATCACACTTTGTCACACTTGGTCACACTTGGTCACACTTGGTCAGACTTGGTCACCCTTGGTCACACGTGGTCACACTTGGTCACACTTGGTCACATTTGGTCACACGTGGTCACACGTGGTCACACTTGGTCACACTTGGTCACACTTGGTCACACTTGGTCACCCTTGGTCACACGTGGTCACACTTGGACACATATGGTCACACTTGGTCACACTTGGTCACACTTGGTCACACTTGGTCACACTTGGTCACACGTGGTCACACTTGGTCACACGTGGTCACACTTGGTCACACTTGGTCACACTTGGTCACACTTGGTCACACTTGGTCACACTTGGTCACACTTGGTCACACGTGGTCACACGTGGTCACACTTGGTCACACTTGGTCACACTTGGTCACACTTGGTCACACTTGATCACACTTGGTCACACTTGGTCACACTTGGTCACTCTTGGTCACACTTGGTCACACTTGGTCACACTTGGTCACACTTGGTCACACTTGGTCACACTTGGTCACACTTGGTCACCCTTGGTCACACGTGGTCACACGTGGTCACACGTGGTCACACGGGCTGTGTAACAAAATCCATCGGGGTGACCGTGTGTGTGTGACCGTGTTACATATGGTCACACGGACCATGGGTAACCCAATCCATCAGGATTTGCGAGGCTTCAAGAGGGGATCAAGAGGGCTGCAGCTGCTGCTGAAGCGCCCGGCCCAGCATGCCTCCGCCTCACCTCTGCTTGAGCACGCCGTGAATGTTGGGAAGATCGTTGGCAGAACAGCATATGCCCACTGCATCCTCTGTCGCCGCCATCACCCCCCCCTCCTCCCCGCCTTCCCAGCACACCTCCACCTCACCTCTGTTGCTGCTATCCCCTCTCCCTCCTCCCCGCCTGCCCCTCACACCCCCGCCTCACCTCTGTTTAAGCACGCCGTGAATGCCGGGAAGATCGTTGGCATAGCAGCATATGCCCACTGACTCTTCTGTCGCCGCCATCCGCACCCAATCCTCTCCGCCCTCCCCTTCTTCCCCCTCCTCTCCGCCTTCCCCCTCTCCGCCCTCCTCTCCGCCCTCCTCCTCTCCGCCTTCCCCTTCTCCACTTACCCCCTCCGCACTCTCTTCCCCGTTTCCTCCTTCTTCGTCCCTTCCAGTCCCCTCTCCCCAGAACCCTGTACCCTCTCCCTCCTCTCCCGCAGCTTCCCTACGCCTCTCCTGAATTCCCTCCGCCGGTAACGCGAGTGATCCAGGCGCGCTTTCCGCTTCCGCTGCGCCTCCTGCTTCCGCGGTCGCGGAGAGGCGGATCCGCCACGAGCGGAATGCGCCAAAAGGGGCGGGTGGGGAATTGCGGATTGCGCCCACGCGAGAGGCGGCGGAGGCGGGAGGGATACGGGGAAAGGGCTGCCACGCGCGGAAAGTTATACGGGCGGAGAGGGAAAGGCGGAAAGTGGGATTGAGCGGGGGATTGCGGAGGCGAACGCGGAAGGGAGGGGAAATGCGCGGGGCGAATGGGCCTGCCGAAGAGCGCGCGACGGGGATGGTGGCGATTAGTGACATAAACACTCGCGGGATGAGAGATTTCAAGCGGTCAATGGCGACAGACTGCGACGATTGTGACACACAGTAAGCAGATTCCTGCGATCGCTCTGCTCAGGGAGCACGCACTAGAGTTCAACCAGAGCACATGCGAAATTTGGGCTGGCTGGGGTGGAAAGAGGGGCCTTTTGCGCACGCGAGAGCCAATGTGCTGGGGTTACCGAGTTCGCCCAGTGTCGTAAAGTTATGGCCAGCAAGTCAGCTTGTGAGGAGAATTTCCAGTAGTACAGTTGTTGAGAGCATTCTTCAACAACTTTTATCAATTATCCTAAGATTCAGTAGCTTCGCATTTTGTTGTACAGGTCCAATGAATGCGTCTTTTTAATGTAATCACCACACGTGATCCTCGTTAGTAAAGCTGGATTCTTATCGCGCGAGACGTAGTGGCGGCGCTCGACAGTCCTTTACAACCTCGATATAAGAACACGGGCTACAAGATGAACATGCTCGCCCCGCCGCTGGCATGCTTCCTGTTCCACAAATGCAGGTGCAGCTATGCTTTGTTGCGCCCCCTCGGGGATATCACCCCCTCGCCAGAAACCGCTTTTCCCAAACCCGCACGTGAGCCAATTGTGCTGTGTAAAGGGGCAAAGACAAGAATGGATTAAAAAATTTCCAACTTCCCACCGCACTAAAACTCACTGTCCCGCTTTCCATCCAGCAGAGCCGTGCCCAGCATACAGGAGCCAATCCCAAGGTTTTTTCTTTCCACAGACCTCCCTACCCCCACGTCCTCCTGTTTGCGGTTGCTTCCGCCCACTCCCTGAACAGTCAAGCAACGCGTGCGTGCGGAGTGCTGTCTCTACAGCGCAGGGGGACAGGTGCAGGGGAATCCTGGTAGGGGCGAAATAGGTGTTCTACTGTTCCATTCTGGCGTATGATGACTGTTACTTATTTATGGACATTCTCTCTCTAGCCAACTGGCGCGAGAATACTTAGCCGCCTAGTAGCGAGACTCTGTAGGACCGTCACTTGCGCTGATTAACCTCAACATTCGTATATTTTTTTTTTGCCATTGATCATGGCAGCTGCTTTGTTACAATCCCCTTCGTTACCCGCGTTACTGAATCGCGTCGGCGAGCTACACGAAGAAGTGAGCGACGCGATCGAGCGCAGCCTCCAATGCGACTTCTTCCTCTCCACCTCCACCGCCGGTACCGTCGCCGCCGCTACCGCCGCCGCCGCGGATTGCGCTTCTGCGGAGTCTTCCCCGTCTGGCCCGCTGGTGGCTTCTCGGTGCGAAAAAAACGCGTCGCTCTCCTGAAAGTTACTCAATTTCGCAATCTCTATTTGTTTCACAACCTCGAGTTCTCTAGCTTTAGCTCCTAAACTCGCCCTATGATTCTTCCCCCTTGCAATTTCCGTCATTGTTTCCGGCCATTCCCCCATTGTCAAAAACCTTATATTTGTCATTGACAACCTTGTATTTGTCATTGTCTCTTCACCAGTATCCCTGTTCCGTACACATGTTTCTCTTTCCTTATTCTTGTCTGCTCGACACACTGAACTCTCCCTTTTCTCCGAACAGCCTGTCGCAACAGGACACGCCCACAAAAAACTCTAGTAGCGGGGATAAGTCTAGCGGGTCCGGAAGCAACACAAGCTCCCCTTCCTCTTCCTACCAGCGCGCGTATGAAAAACATGTCGAGTCTGCCCGGAAGGCCGGGCAGGACGAAAACATTCAATCCGGGCAGGGAAGCGCCGAGGCGCGGATGCTGATTGCGCTCCGCGACGCGCTGGAGATGCTGGAGTGGCACCTGGACCAGCTGCTACAGTGCGAGGAGACGCTTCAGGAGAAACTTCAGGTGAAACAACAGAAGACGCAGCAGCAGATAAACCATCTGCGCGCGCCGCAGCGGCAGAGGCGCAGGGCGAGCGCGGGGAAATCCGGGGCGCGGGGAGTCAACGCCGCCGCCCTCGCGGCCGCTGCGGCTGCCAGGGCGGCCGCGGCGGCGGGAGCCGCGGCGGGTTCCGCGGAGGGGGAGCGCGCGGCGGAGGCGGAGGCGGCGGCGCAGTGGGCGCAGATGGTGACGGAGTTAAAGATGGCGGCGCGGATAGTGGCGTCGCAGGGGCGGTGCCATCAGGGGCGCGAGGCGGAGGTTGTTGCGCGCATTCAGCAGCTGGCGGAAGACGTTGACCTGGAGCCCTTCCCCTTCCCTTCCGCCCTTGCCGCTCCGCACAGCCAGTTCCTGCAGCAGCAGCAGCAGCAGCATAAGTTATTCTCTTCTTCCGCCTTCTCCCCCTTATCCGCCGCCCCGCTCCCCGCGTTGCTCCCTGCCCACGCGCCCTCCCCCTCTTCCTCCCCCTCCTCCCTCCTCCCCCAACCCCTCACTCCCGCGCAAGGCCCAGCCGCTGCGCCGTACTCCTCCGCGCATCCCTTCTCCCCCTCCCCCTCCCCCTTCTCCGCTTCCGCGCTTTCCCCTTCTCCCTTAAAGGAAGCTTCCATACAACTTCCGCCATATTACCAACACCCGGAGGTCGCAGTGATGGGCGGAGGGGCGGTGGCGGAAGGGGAAGACTCCGAGGGGGACAGCCCCACGAGCGGGCAGGTCGGGCAGAATCACTGGGAGGTGGGCAGGCCGCCGGTCAGGAGAAAAATATTCGGGCAAGAGTCGGAGAGCGAGGAAGAGAGTGAAGATGAGAGTGAGGAAGAGAGTGAGGGAGAGTGTGAGGGACAGAGCGGGGGAGGGGACGATGGGTATAAGCGAAAGGAGGGCGAGGAGGGAGAGGGGGAAGGTGAGAGTGCGGGTGCGGGAGATGCTGCCACTGACCAGGGCAAGTCTGAAGCGCCGAAAAAGCATGCTACTGACGCCCTGGGGGGTGGGGAGGGAGGTGGGGAGGGAGGTGAGGAAGAGAAACCAACTGCTGATGATGACGATGATGATATAGCTGCCGAGACTCTAGATGCGCCTTCTGCTGCTGCAACTGTTTCTGGCGTTGCTGCTGCCGTTGCTGGTGGTGGTGATGTGAGTAATGGAGCTGACGTGACTGATGCTGACTCATCTGGCGCCACTGCTGCCAGTTCTGCTGTGCCCGCTAACCCTCTCACCCCTGCTGCTCATGCACGTGACTCTCTTGACTCCCTTGACTCTGCTAACTCTGCTGACTCTGTTGACTCCGTTGACTCTACTGAGGCTGGCTCTGCAAACGCTGTTGACACTCCTGCTGCTGCTGACACTGCTGACAGTTTAGACGCTCACGCTGACGCTGCTGCTGACATCGTTGCTTCCACGAACGACGTCTTTGCAGCACCTGCTGCCATCGAACCCCCCTGTGCTGCCACTGCTGGCGCCTCTCTTGCTTCCGCCGCTGCCACTGTTGCGGCTGACTCCTCTGCTGCTCACGCATCTCCTGATTCCATCGTTGCACCCACATCACCACCGGACGAGCCTGAACATACCTCTCCAAGCCACCTCTCCCCAGTTTCACCTCCCTCAGATGAGCCCTCTTCCGCTCATCCCTCTTCGACTCACCCCTCGTCAGCTGATCTCCTTCCGCAGTCCCCACCTGACTCTCTTCCTTCCCCTCCCGTCCCCCCGCTTGAAGCCTCTCCGATACACTCACACCAGCCGCCGCCGGACCAAGCTCTGCCGAACCTCGCTGCCGAACCTGACTCGCAGGCCGAGCAGCAGGCCGGGCAGCAGGTCCGGAACCAGCCGAACCAGAGCTGGGCTCTCCAGCCGATCAACCAGGTTCTGGCGTTGACTCGCGTGGCGACTGGCGGTGCTAAAGCCATTGAGGTGGTGGTGGTGAGGGTGGCCCGCCTCTCCTCCTTCCTCCTCCACCCCATGACTCTCAGCCTTGGTGGCCTTGTCGGTGTCTCCCTTGGGATTGCCGCTGCCACGTCAGCAAGGAGGGAGAAGTGGGTTGGGCATTGGGGGGTTGTGAGGAGAGGGGTGCTGGGAGCGCTGCCGAGGCCGGGGGCTGAGTCTGCTGTTGCCTGGAGGGAGCAGGAGAGGGAGAGGGAGAGAGCGAGGGAGGAGGAGAAAGAGAGGGAAATTGGGGCGTGGGGATTGGACGAGAGGTTGTGGGCAGCAGGGGGGGATTGGGGAGAGGGCGATGGGAGCATTGGGGAGGCGGACGAGGAGGAAGAAGAAGAGTCAGAAGAGGAAGAGGAAGGGAGGGAAGAGGAGGGTGGTATGTGGGGCGTCAGTGGTGGTTCAGGGGAGGGTGTAGGGAAGAGCGAGGAGGGGGAAGGGGTGCAGGAGCGGGGTGGGGGTCTACTCGCGTTCTTGCAGGGGGAAATGAGGCGACTCAAAGGGGAGTCAGACGAGGCAGGTGGGGTGGGAAGAGGCGGAAGTGAGGAGAAGGGAGGGACGGGTGGGGCAGCGTGGGGGGCAGGGCAGGCGGGTGTATATGCTGCTGCAGTGCTGGAGCGACTGAGGGAGGAGGTGCGTGTGAGAGAAGAGGAACTGGCGAGGGTGAAGGTGAGGGGAGAGGAGCTTGAGCGAGTGCGGATGCGAGAGCTGCAGCTGCTGCAGGGGCAGTGGGAAGAGGTGGGGGCGGCGGATGGGGGGGAAGGGGAGGCGGGAGGAGAGGAGACAGGGGAGGAAGGACGGGAGGAGACAGGGGAGACACGGGAGACAGGGCAGACAGGGGAGAGGGGAGGAGAGGGGAAGGGGGAGGGGAGAGGGGAGGGGCTAGGAGGGGGGTTTGGAGTGCATGTAGACGACCCACTGTTGGCTGCTCTTCTGAGGGACCTTTCCGTGCGCCCTACTGATTCTAACAATGATGCTGATGCTAATGGTGTTGGTGCTGCTGCTGCTGTTGATGCTGCTGGTGGTAGTGATGATGATGTGGGAATCACGCCGCTGCCGCGGTTGAACATCAGCAAGGCGAAGGGAGAGTGGGACCACCAGCAGGAGCAGCAGTGGCGGAAGCAGCTTTCAGGCGCGTTTGAGCGAGAGTGGGATGGAGTGAGCAGCCTTAACAAGCCAAGCTCTGATGCATGTGCTGCTGCTGGTGTTGCTGGTGTTGCTGGTGGTGGGGGTGACTTACGGGAGTGTGGAAGCTTCTTGGAAGCAGCACAGGGCTGGCTGGAGAAGGTTCAGGAGGGGAGGTCCCAGATTGACAGTCAGATGCTCAAAGCGGGCGGCACACTGCAAAAGGCGGGTGGCACACTGCACAAGGCAGGTGCGGCATTACTTGATGCGCCTCGAAACACCATCCATGCCGCAGGCCAGGCGCTCCCGAACGTGATTCCGAGCCTGCTGCCATGCGTCGCTCGCAAGTACGAGAGGCTGAAGAGGCGCGGCTGGGTGGGGGTGCTGCGAGGAGGGGGAAGCGGCAGCGAGAGCAGGAGTGGGGAGCAGGGCGGGTGCAAGGATGGAAGGGAGCATGGAGCACAACAGGCACGAGACAGCACAGCAATCAGCACCACAACCAGCAATGCTGTGCAAAGCAGCAGTTTTAGTGTGGTTTCTCACACTGATGCGCATGGAGCGAATTCGGCACCTGGTGTGGTGGTGGTTCCAGGTGTTGCAGCAGTGGGGTCAGGGCATGGAGGAGGGGATGGGTTCTGGACAGATTTGGCAGAGAAGGCTCGGCAGTTGAGGAGTGGACGGAAGAGAGGGAGGGAGTGAGGAAGTAGGGTGAGTGGTTGAGTCAACTTAAAGCTCTGTTGCTGCAGTAGGGGGGGCAGGTCATGGAGGTGGAGATGGGTTCTGGACAGATCTGAAGGAGAAGGCCTGGCAGTTGAGCGTTGGACGGAAGAGAGGGAGGGAGTGAGCGAGGGAGGCACCTGGTGTGGTGGTGGTTCCAGGTGTTCCAGCAGGGGGGGCAGGGCATGGAGGAGGGGATGGGTTCTGGACAGATCTGAAGGAGAAGGCTCAGCAGTTGAGCATTGGAAGGAAGAGAGGGAGGGAGTTAGGAAGTAGGGTTAGTGGTTGAGTCAACTCAAAACTCAGCTGTTGCAGTAGGGGGGTCAGGGCATGGAGGAGGGGATGGGTTCTGGACAGATCTGAAGGAAAAGGCTCGGCAGTTGAGCTTTGGACGGAAGAGAGGAAGGGAGTGAGCGAGTGAGGGAGTGAGAGTTGTTGATGCTTGTCTGTTCTGCCCTTTATGTTGACTCTTCTCCCTGTCTACGAGTGTTAGCTGTGTGAAGTGTGCCTGCTTGCAGATTTTCATTTTGTTTTTTTCCCCTTGTTCTCATGTGTGCATGCTTTTCCTACTGTGTTCCCCCACGCTCCCCTTCTGCATGCCTTCACCCTTGTTGGGTTGAAAAGGATCCTTCTATTGGTAAATCACCTGTAACTTTGTTATTATTATAATTTTTAAACACACATTGTGTTTTTTAAATTGTGTATTGTGAAAGCGAAGCTGCTTGTAGTGCACATTTGGCATCGTCGAAGCGCGCTAAACGCCCTTCTCCAACTACAAAAACCATTTCCCTCCACCCACATTTCTCTATTTCCAACGGCTCACTCAACTTTCCCGCTCGAGTAGTCTTTTCCTCCGTCCAAACTGGCTAGAACCAAAACGCTTCCTCGAGGCGTGTCACCCTCGACTTTACTCAACGATATTTTTAACTTCAATCGCTCAACGATGGCACCTACGCCGGCACTTAACAACAACAACTCGGCCAACCCCGCTTCCGACCCCGACCGTAACGCCCGCGATTTTGCGGGCGATCGGCGTAACAAGCGTCGGGCAGAAGATGGACCTTCCGCACCGACTGGAGTGGACGTGCTGCTGGGCGGGCTCGATGCCCAGCACCCTTCGGCGAATGTGGCACCGGTGGCGCCTGTGACACCTGTGGCGCCAGTGGCAATGGCGGCTGGCGCGACACACGCGACTGACGCCGAGCACACGCCAGCACCCGCAGCTGGACCGTCGCGTCAGCGCCAGAGGCGACGACCGGCGGTCTCCTCGTCTGACGCGACGGCCACTCCTACGCTGACGCAGGCGTTGACCCCGGACCAGGTCAACGCGCTGCTGTCCCTTCTACAGCAACATCCCGTCAGCATTACAGCCGCGGAAACTGCACTACCTGCTGCATCTGCGTCTGCTAAAAACGAAACTACAAAAAAAGAAAAAGGAGTGCGAGGAGCAAGGACGAACCGGCGCAACAACGACGCAGCGACCAGCGTTCCCCTTGCTCGACAACGACACCGACGACTCCGAAGATGACGCTGGTGAGGCTCCAGACGACAATGCTAATTTTATTGGCACGGAAAACCTCCCCCCCCTCCCTTCTTCTAACCTCACTTTTTCGGCGACGACATTCGTCAACGACTTCGTGCGAGAGCAAGCGGAGCTGCTGGAGGACTTGCGCGCGTACCTGCTGCACGCGGAATACAAGGCGCAGCGCGGCGACTCGGCGGGCGGACGCGAACTCATCTCACACGCTCTCAACCTCATCGCGGGGCGTTTCGAGGTGCTTCAAGTGGAGGACGCCTCCGACTTCCGCACGGCGAAGCGCTTCAAGCTGTACCAGCAGAAGAGCCTGCTGACCTCTCGACCCTTCAAGCAGGCGGTCGCGGACATGGCTGCGATGGACCGCGCGGCAAGCGCATACGCTCGTGTCAACCACGGCGGAAACAACGCGCTGATGCCGTTCCTACCCAAGCGGGGCCCCCCACCCACGGCCAATTGTCGTGGGTTTCGGGGCTCGTGCTTCCGCTGCGGCCAGCCGGGCCATGTGGCAAGTGCCTGCCCTAGGAACGGGCATGGTGGCCAAGGTCCCGCTCCGGTAGTGTAGGAGCGGGCCATGGGAAATGCGCTCGGAGTGCAAGGCACGGTGCACTCTTGAGTGCGGAAACCGTGGGCAGCCCTAGGGGTTTGCGATGGCAAGAGGGCAGCCCTAGACAAGGGTAGAGTAGGCCTTGGGCCTAGGTTAGGGAAGGGGAACATCAACCCCTCGGTCCCATGTATTGGCCACTAGGTGGCGTATGCATGCTAGGAAAGCATTGCTGTGTGTATCGGGTCGATTTAATAAAACATTATTCCTAAAGGCCCTCTGATTTTGGCAAGTGACACTCTAAGAAACAAAGAGGTGGTGCAGAGCAAGAGAGAAAGAGAATCAGAGAGAAAGAAAGAGAGAGAGAGAGAGAGAGAGAGAGAGAGAGAGAGAGAGAGAGAGAGAGAGAGAGAGAGAGAGAGAGAGAGAGAGAGAGAGAGAGAGAGCGCTGTTCTGTGGCTCTCCAAAGGGCACAGTCGGTAGGATATCTCAGCCGTAGCCGAGAACCCTCCAGTGGGGGGGGTGCAGTCCGAGCTCCACCTTGGGGACTGTTGTACCGTGCTAGAGCCTCTCATGGAGGGGTAGATAGGCAACTATGTGTAGCTGGAGAGATGTTTGCTTGTATGTTTCTAGTCCTAGCATCACTAACTTGCATGTTTGTACCTTACCACTATATCAATGCACGGACCATTAGAGAGAGAGAGAGAGAGAGAGAGAGAGAGAGAGAGAGAGAGAGAGAGAGAGAGAGAGAGAGAGAGAGAGAGAGAGAGAGAGAGAGAGAGAGAGAGGGGGCATGGACAGCGGCATCCAACCGTGTGTGGACCGTGGGGCGAGCCGGTCGGTGCTCGGCACACTCGTTGACATAGCAATTAATTGTCAATTCTGTCCAGACCGTTTACAAGTGATCTCAAGCACGTGCACACATGCAACATACGCATGTTTTAAATAAAAAGTGCAACCATTGTCCCATGCCACGAACACACAGGAGCGTGGCAATACGAGGCGGCATGCGGCGACGATCCGTACGAATTTGCCATTACGGACAAAACCGTTACACATATGCGCGGCCGGCTTCGCGCGACCTTTGCATGGTGGAGCTCATGGTGCTCAAGTAGCCTTGTCCTCTCCGTCATAGCCAAAGGCTATTGGTTGCCATGGAGCCACGGCCCACCGCAACCCTTCCACGATCGCAACCATGTCGGGGCGAACACGCATGCCACGTTCACACGTACTGCCGTACAAGAACTCACAGAGACCAGAGCGGCAGTTCCGATGGCCGCAAAGGAGCTTGCTTGCATAAGTCCGCTCAACGTGGTCGAGGAAAAAGACAAATGCAGGCTCATTCTGGATCTGAGGAAAGTCAACGCTCACTTAATTGTCCCAAAGTTCAAGTACGAGGGGCTTAACCGGGTGGCCGACCTGGCACGCGCTGGGGACTGGATGTTCTTCATCGACCTTAAATCCGGTTATCACCACATCGACATCCACCCCTCGTGCTGGAAGTTCCTTGGATTCGAATTTGGTGGACGCACATACGCATTTCGACCCTGCCATTCGGACTCGCCACAGCTACATTCGTCTTCACGCAACTCATCAAGCAACTTGCCCAGCGTTGGCGAGAACAGGGCATCCGAGTAGTGCCATACGTGGATGACATTTTATTTCTCTGTCAGTCAAAGGCCCATGCGCAAGCTACCTTGCCAGCGCGTAATATTGGACCTCAAAGCAGCGGGGCTGGTGATAAACGCGAAGAAATCGCAGCTCTCAACATCGCAACACCTTTGATTTTTTGGTGTCGATTTGGACACCGACACCGGCCGATTCTCCATCGGTCCCGACCGACGAGCCGCGCTACATGCAACCATCCGGAACCTCCTAAGTGCAAGCAAGGCATGCAGACCAGTTGTTAGAATTGAGAAGGAAAGAATGATTGAATTAGCAAGCAGGTGTACCCCACTATAGCCTACACTGACTATGTCATATAAGTTTGACAGACCCCCAAAGGCAAAGTGGGGGAGAACAAGAGGTCACAAGACCAGTCAAGAAAAGCAAAGCAAGCTCAGGGTGGATCACGACGTCACCACGCATTCTGAGCACAAGCAAATGGCCACAAGGCCAGTTCACATGCAGAGTTATATAAAGGAGAACAAGCAGTACAGTGATCACAACCTAGCAAGTATAAGCATGCAGGTATATGTATAGAGATCACAGTACAAGCAAAGTCAAGAAGTGAGCAAGTGAGGCCAAGTAGGCACAAGGCCTATAACAGTACAGAAACGCTGATGATCACAAGGCTGGAGTGCCTTGGTGAAGACATCAGCTCTGTTGGCTTCAGAGGCCACGTAGACAAGACGAAGCTGACCACGCTCCTGCAACTCTCAAGCAAGGAAGTAGCGCAGAGCGATGTGCTTCGTTCTGTGCTCCAGTCTGTGCTCCTGACACAAGGAAATCATGGCCTTGTTGTCGACGTATAGAACTGGAGGAGAACGAGGCGGCTCGCCCAAGTCGGTCAGCAGGTAGGTGAGCCAGCGTAACTCCTGTGCAGCCATGGCCCCTGCGTAGATCTCAGCCTCACAACTGGAGCTGAGAACAGAAGACGAGCGGGTAGACCGCCACGAAACAGAGCCGGAGCCAAGGCTGAAGGTGTAACCCTGTGACGACCGCTGCGTAGCCAAGTCGTCAACCCAAGAAGCGTCTGCGTGACCAGTGAGGACAACTCGAGCCCGTCCTCCAAGCACGAGCCCCATACCCAATGTACTGCACAAGTAGCGCATCACCCTCTTAGCGGCCTTCTAGTGCTCTGGTCGGTGTCTCCCGGGCGCAACGTAGCGAGCCAGGATGCTAAGAGGGTAAGTGAGGTCAGGCCGAGTGCAGGTCATCAGGTACATGAGGCAGCCCACAAGCTCTGGATACGGGCCACTCGGTTCTACGGACTCATCCGAAGGCAGAGCTGAGAGCGAGTGACCGGTAGGCAGAGGAGTGGCCTGTGGCGAGGAGTA